TACTATTACCCAAGTAAAGTGGGTGGTTGTCTCCCAAAAGTTTTTCTTGGATTCTTGCTTTCTCTCTAAAAACTTACATTACCTATGAAACAGGAAGAGAAAATCGGAACAAGAGGGAGAAAGTTAAAAGAGAAAACGAAAATAACAACGATAACGGACATAGATTAAAACAACTGTTCAATGTTTTTATATGTATCCTGGACGAGCAAAAGCTCGTAATATCAAAATATTTTTGAAAAAAGATGATGATAGCAGTAGTAATGCAAAGTAAATGAATATAAATCGATAGACAATACTCTGATATTTTTATGTCATTAATAATTATAGAGAAAATTACTTATTTTCATCGATTTTTATTTTCCTTAAGTTATTTCTACAATAACTGAAAGAAAACTCTTAGAAATGAGAACGCGATATTTAAAGCTTTTCCTTAAAGGTACATCTGAACACAGAAAAATTAGTATAAAGACTAGTTTCTCCCTAGGTTTGAGAGACTTTCTCCCTGAATTTTTCCCCCGGCTCAGCAAAATCAAACGAAAGCTATGTCGATGATTTAGACGTTTGCAAAGGTTCAAACTTTTACTCCAAGCTATCTCAATGTATAAAATATCCACCCTCGCTCGATATATGTTAAGCATCATTTATTCCTTCAAAAGCAAAAAAGGGTTTTCTTGGTAAAACTTTTTGTCATAGCATATAGTCCGAATCATCAGCGAATAGTGTCATCTATTCCAAAATGTTACTGAAACTATCACTCCTAAGAATACCTCGTCTACACATAGCAGTGTACACTAACGCCGACACCGTTTCCACCATAGTTAGCGGTAACTATATCAGGTTTGTTGTCATTATTGACATCGACGACTGCCACTGAGTATGGTTGAAGGGCAGTTGCATAAGTAATTTGAGAAGAAAAGGTTCCATCGCCATTATTCAGAAGAACACTGACAGTGCTTGTACCTGCGTTAGCAGTGACTATATCGGGTTTGTTGTCATTATTGACATCGACCACTGCCACCGACCGTGGTTGATAGCCAGTTGCATAAGTAGTTTGAGAAGAAAAGGTTCCATTACCAGTATTGAGAAGAACACTGACAGAAAGTGCACCAAAGTTAGCGGTGACTATATCAGGTTTGTTGTCATTATTGACATCGACGACTGCCACTGAGTATGGTTGAGTNATATTCGCATCTTTTGATAGTTTTTTAAAGAGTATATCCCACTTGTTACCCAATTTAATTCGAAAAAAGAGGATAGGAAAAAAAGTATTCTGAAAATGAATGAACTATTTACTAATTTCGAAAATAAATCGATTGTGTGCATTTTTGAAAATCGAAAACCTATACTCACTATTGGTAAAAAAATTTTATTGCCTCCCCTAAAAGATTAAGCATGCGCCGCCCATGTGTGAGTATGATTGTCCAAACTTTCACTGATATCTGTTTCACATAATATTCATCTAAAGTGCGTAAGTCATTTCACTCGACTTCTAAACCAAACTATATAATCTGGTGACATTCTGTTGAAATCTTTATAGTTCCTTCTTCTTGAATTTCGAAACAGCGATTAAATACTGCTCGATAATTTAGACGTTTCCAAAGGTTCAAACTTTTATTCAAAGCTATCTCAATCTATAAAATATCCACCGTCGCCCGATACATGTTAAGCATCATTTATTTCTTCAAAAGCAAAAAAAAGGTTTTTCTTGGTGAAACTCTTTGTCATAGCATAGAGTATGAATCATCAGCAAATATTGTCATCTATTCCAAAATGTTACTGCAGCAATCACTCCAAAAAATATCTCGTCTGCACTTAGCAGTGTACGCTAACGCCGACACCGTTTGCGCCACAGTTAGTGGTAACTATATCAGGTTTGTTGTCATTATTGACATCGACAACAGCCACTGCGTATGGTTGAGCGCCAGTTAAATAAGTAGTTTGAGCATAAAAGGTCTCAGTACCTGTATTAAAAAGAACACTGACAGTATTTGCACCATAGTTAGCGGTAACTATATCAGGTTTGTTGTCATTATTGACATCGACGACTGCCACTGATTGTGGATTAGTGCCAGTTGCATAAGTAGTTTGAGCATAAAAGGTTCCATTGCCAGTATTAAGAAGAACACTGACAGTACTTGCACCATAGTTAGCGGTAATTATATCGGGTTTGTTGTCACCATTAACATCGACGACTGCCACTGATCGTGGTGTACTGCCAGTTGCATAAGTAGTTTGAGAAGAAAAGGTTCCATTGCCAGTATTAAGAAGAACACTGACATTGATACCACCACTGTTAGCGGTAATTATATCGGGTTTGTTGTCACTATTAACATCGACGACTGCCACTGATCGTGGTGAACTGCCAGTTGCATAGGTAGTTTGAGAAGAAAAGGTCCCATTGCCATTATTAAGAAGAACACTGACATTGTTTGCAGCATAGTTAGCGGTAATTATATCGGGTTTGTTGTCACCATTAACATCGACGACTGCCACTGATTGTGGTTGAGAGCCAGTTGCATAAGTAGTTTGAGAAGAAAAGGTTCCATTGCCATTATTAAGAAGAACGCTGACATTGTTTGGGCTACTGTTAGCGGTAACTATATCGGGTTTGTTGTCATTATTGACATCGACGACTGCCACTGCGAATGGTAGACCGCCAGTTGAATAAGTAGTTTGAGCATAAAAGGTCTCAGTACCTGTATTAAAAAGAACACTGACAGTAGCTGAACCTCCGTTAGCGGTGACTATATCGGGTTTGTTGTCATTATTGACATCGACGACTGCCACTGAGTATGGCTGACTGCCAGTTGCATAAATAGTTTGAGAAAAAAAGATTCCATTGCCAGTATTAAGAAGAACATTGACAGTACTTGAACCTCCGTTAGCGGTGACTATATCGGGTTTGTTGTCATTATTGACATCGACGACTGCCACTGATCGTGGTTGAGTACCAGTTGCATAACTAATTTGAGAAAAAAAGATTCCATTGCCATTATTAAGAAGAACACTGGCAGTACTTGCACCTCCGTTAGCGGTGACTATATCGGGTCTGTTGTCATTATTGACATCGACGACTGCCACTGATCGTGGTTGAGTGCCAGTTGCATAAGTAGTTGGAGAAGAAAAGGTTCCATTGCCATTATTACGAAGAACACTGACAGTACTTGGACCAAAGTTAGCGGTGACTATATCGGGTTTGTTGTCATTATTGACATCGACGACTGCCACTGATACTGGCTGAGTGCCAGTTGCGTAAGTAGTTTGAGCAGAAAAGATTTCATTGCCATTATTAAGAAGAATACTGACAGTACTTGTACCTGCGTTAGCGGTCACTATATCAGGTTTGTTGTCATTATTGACATCGACGACTGCCACTGAGTATGGCTGAGTGCCAGTTGCGTAAGTAGTTGGAGAAGAAAAGGTTCCATTGCCATTATTAAGAAGAACACTGGCATTGTTTGAGCCATTGTTAGCGGTAACTATATCAGGTTTGTTGTCATTATTGACATCGACGACTGCCACTGAGTATGGTTGAGTGCCAGTTGCATAAGTAGTTTGAGCATAAAAGGTTCCATTGCCATTATTAAGAAGAACACTTACAGTAGTTGAACCAGCGTTAGCGGTGACTATATCAGATTTGTTGTCATTATTGACATCGACGACTGCCACTGAGATTGGTTGAGTGCCAGTTGCATAAGTAGTTTGAGAAGAAAAGGTTCCATTGCCATTATTAAGAAGAACACTGACATTGTTTGCACCATAGTTAGCGGTAACTATATCGGGTTTGTTGTCGTTATTGACATCGACGACTGCCACTGAGTATGGACTGCTGCCAGTTGCATAAGGAAGTGCAGTTACGAACGTGTTGTTAGACACTATAAGTGTAAAAATCTTCCTATTAGCTTAAAATATGTAGAAATGAGCATGCTTCAGAGGTGTCTGGTGCATTTGTGAGTGTTTTATAATTTTCCTCGTCGCATCATAGGAGAAAGCTTATTTACATTCAATTATAAAACTAAATGATCGGATAACGTATCAGTGGAGTTATCTTTTTTGGAACTCTCAGTGCTCTTTAGGTCATGCCATCACTAGTTGAAATAAGAAGGCGTCTCAAAAGTCCGTTATGGTTCATCTTTGGTGAATAACCATTTCTGGCATTCATAACCATTGGCACGATGCGTAGCTGTAATCGATAAAGTGCTGCCACTGAAACATAATTGAACGCAACGCTACAATCTGTTTCATAGGCATACATAGCTCGAATTACGGTTTGAGATTGGTTGTGGACGTCGAACTTGGCCAAGATCAACAAGTCAAGAAATCGCCTGCATGCGCGGGATGAAAGTGGAAATGGTTCTGAGATGTAAGACTGAAGCTGGAAAGTTGTGAAGTCGTCCTTTGCTTCTTAATTCTAATCTCTCACTATAAAATAATAAGCACACTCGTCTGCTTCTGTTACGAAATACCATCACGCCTTTATGACAAATGTTTTAGTTTGGCTTTGGCTGTAAGGTTGATAGTCTTCGTGTAAAAACGAGCAACATGTGATAATAGCTTTGCTGACGTTATTTCTGTACCACTATATCAAAGTCGTGTTAATCGTCGAATTAAGAATGATTCTAACTATACTCTCATATAAATGTTCGAAGTACAAGAGAAATTCTAAAATCTATCGCCAGACCTATTGACAATTTCATCATGAATTAAGAAGATTTTCTGAATCTCGTGTAAATAGTCGCGTATGAATGCGAACACATTTTTTGTCTGTCTTGCGCATCAAAATAAAGCGATATGACTCCTTAATTGGTTTTAAAAATTCACGGTTTGATTAGATTGATATTTAGAATGAATCGAATGGTGTTTTTTTCGAATAAGTATTTGCACGTTATTTTGGACTACTAAACAACAAGCCAGAACGAAACAGTGCTAGCTCTATCTAGTTTAGTTTAGGTGAACTATACGTTACTTATCTGATATGATGACGATAGAGCAGCGAATATTAGAAAGTCATAGTAGAATAGAGAAAAAGAAATTCATCGACAACTTTGTTCTGCAACTACTATTAGTTAACTCCACGATCTGCTTATTCGTGAGTTATGAACATCATGACAGATTAATCTTATGTATCCTAACAAAACCTCATCTGTGGATTATGCGCATCTTGCTTACCCCCCATTAGGATTTTCGTGCACTCCGTTCATCTATAGTCGATATACAATACTCATGAGATTCATTTGAGAAAGAGGAACACTTTCACGGATACTTAACGACGGTATGATCCGAAATAAGTGGCAACATATTTGACTTTGGAGAAGTCCTAGAGTATGAAAAATTCAAAAAATATATATGTTCATGGTTTTTCCTATACACTTATGTACGTCTCACTGAAGTTTCAGCTTACAATATTCAACATACCCATGCATTAAATAACTCTATGACAAGGATAAGGTTTACTATCGGACACTTGGCTTTGGGAAAAGTTTCTATATTTCATCAAACGTAAAATAGGCTTATGCTTAGTTTAAAAGTCTGATTTTGAAGATATTCGAATTACCATTAGAAATATACAGACATATCCGAAAAGTTGTGATTGTAGCTCTTGAATACCATTCATAAGAGGCTTTAATAGACTTTTCTCGATACAGTCTGACAGAGAAAATAATGCTCTGATTCTCTATGCTATTTGATATTACTTCATTTTATATTGAAATAATAGAATCTGGGTACGATTTGTTCTTTGATCTTATGCAGCCGTTATTCTAACATCTATTTAGTCATATATTTTGTCGATAACTTTGGAGCGAAATTAGACAGATAGCTTCAACTATTACGATCAGAAATCAATGAGAAATATGCATAGAATAGCGTATTATATATTTTTCTAGACGTTATTTACTATTACTTCAATAATTGTTTCCAATATTTAAAAACATTTCTTGTCATATAAACTGTTAACAGAAAGATTACTTCTGATCTTACCCACGGTATCTATGACTTGTGAATAACTGGTAACATATATGCAAGTTTTCCAAGGTTTTATCGGTTTTATAGAAACGATTTGAATACAGACACGACCACTGAGATTTCATTGAAAATACTTTACAGAATAAATTGGTTTTGAAAGGGAACAAATGGAATCTTCAACAATCGACCGTATACATCTTCATTTCTACTATCCATCGATGAGTACTACGCTATCGTATCTTATTTGTATCATAGATTACTGGCCAAATCTCCACGCACTGGACATTAGTACTAGTATTACGCCATAAATGTCACTAAGACCTCTACTGAATATCAATTTCTATCGTCACCATTCGATGTATGTGTGTACAACAGGTAATTCATTCAGGATTTTTTCCCAAATCACACAACTTAGGTTAAAGTTTATGAAAAAATAATACACAGCATATGTTGTTTACACAGAAATATTTTACGCAAACATCATATACATCGCACTTTGCACATGCTATTGCAAAATGCCACATTCATGAGATTTGACTCGTGTATAGTTTTTCGATAATCCTTCCGGCGTAGGAAAAGAAAAGCTACCGATTACTATAAGCTAAGCTCTTCAATACGTATTTTAAAGATTATCGAATGCCGTCAAGGTATCTACGATTTTCTCATTTTTGCGACACAGTTGAATGCCTGCACTGACAACGCGCAACTTTAATTCTAGAACCGATACTAGTTTAGATTGTATTTGAAATAGACTTGAAGTGAAATTTATAGCTAGAGTCGCTCATTTCTGACATGTAAGACAGAATATTGTTACCGTGACAAATGCGAAACCTTGAAGTATATGTCTTTCTACATTTCATGCTGTTTCTTAATCCATGGATACCGTATGAATCGTTATTAAACGAAGCAATAAAATCGTACCTACGAAAGCCACTATTTTCCGCGGTAAGCACGGTCAAATTGTTTGTAAAATGAGGAAACAATCAGAGACGTAATAACAAAATGCTTTAACTCCAGAGATACTTGACCGTCGTAGTCAAGGTTATCACTAAGGAGATCGTGTATCACTCAACTTTTCTTGTCACTCAGTAGTTTTGACTGCAGTATGTGCATAATGAGAGTCCAGAATCTTTATTTCTGTGATTAGTTCCCCCTCAAGTTGTTCAAGGCTTACTTCGACTTTTTAGGGATTAATCAGTATTTTTGTGCACAAAAAAAGACTTTTTTTAAATCGTTTTTAGCGATGGAAATGCGTGAAGACAGGGTAAAATACTGTTTCTATGCTCTGACAATCTTAAAAAACAACATCATGCAAATGTCGAAAATAAATTTTGTTCCCCAGAAAACTTTGTAAATTAATAATTATAGAAAAATTTGAAAGCAGCAGAAGAACTCTGAAAAATTTCGTACGTAGAATGATGCAAAAGACCCAGAACTTCTATTGTGTAAGGGACTTATGATAACTTATTGTGCAGCGCATAGAAAACGATTATTATTTCGTTTGTTACGTACTAGAAACTGGTGGANCAAGAAGTCGAATGGCGAAAGAAAAAAGTTTCTATCTTCATTAGAAAATGAGTTGGTGCATTCTCAATGAGCTTCACTCGAATGGTTGGTGTGTGAAAAGAAATAAATTTTTTTAAGGAGAAAGACATGCGTTGAGCGATGAAAACCTATTGTTCAAGTATCAGTTTTTGATGCTGAACCCACAGAAAAAACTTTCAAAGCTATAACAATTTTTTCCGAAGCGCCATCATCAAAATCCCAGTAGAAAACCTGTTTTTTTAACCCTCGGTTTTCGCAATATTTTTCGATTTCCAGTAGCAAGATCATTTCTTATCTATATAAATCATACATGTTCGGATTCAGCGCATCAAACCACATCAGAATCCATTAAAAAATTGACAAAAAAAAATTTGCTCGAATTTTGCATTGCGCCAACCTTATTTTTATTTCATATTTATCTAATAGAATAATAATGAATAACGTTGCATGAAACGCCACGAGATCTGACCTTGTTTCAAATTAGTTTGCGCTCAAATTCGTATTAGAAGACCAGTCCATAATATAAGACGCCGTTCAAAAGTGTGTTCTCCAAAACACAATAGTAGACCCGGGGGTCTTTTATTATAGAGGAGGGTTTAGCTGCACAGATGGTGGGCGAAACTGCACATCCATTTTCTTCCTGTTCAATGTAGGAGAAAAGAAAGGAATGAGGCAACATAAAGGAGAATGTGTTATTATAATGAATGTTTACCTAATGGAGGACATTTCTGCAACAGATTCGACTCTTCCAGGATTTATTTGTTATGATATGCAATCTAAATCTGTTTTCGTGTGTTCCAAGTCAGAATTTGACGAGTTCTATCGATTCCAAAGAAAAATATTCATAGATCGACGAAAAAATGTTCTTATCATTGTGTGTCTTTATGCTACTAGGCTATTACTATTGAAAGTGTGTAATGTACGTACAATGAAAAATACCAGGCAACATATAAATCCGGTAATACTGAATTAATCAGCATAACGGCATCCACTATTACATAAAAAGCACGCATGGTGTTATCCAATTACACTTCCAACTAACTTTTTAAAATGCTTGTAATTGTTCCCTCGACTGAAAGGAGGGTCCTATGAAAAAAATTAGTTTGTGTACTTGTATGTTTGTGTCAGGGTTAACGGTCAAGATTTATTGAAATTCTCAAAATTCAAAGGTATGTCTTCTAGAAAGGATCTCATGGGTAGATGTTGGCAGGAAACGAGAGACGTGGCCAAAAGATCATCGCCCTTGATGTCAAAGGTCGAAAAAACATTTTTTTTAAATGTTCAAAATTTGTTCAAACACCGTTTGGGATGGGTCTTGAAGGTACACGGTTGGAAAAAATATTATTCCAGGGGGGTAACACCATCATTTTAAATGGAGTAGATGATGAATTTTATACCAAATGAAAGTCCGTGAAAAATGGGATTTATTGATACTAAATAGTGAGGATTATGAAGATCTCAGTGTATCAAACTCTCGAAGTTTATATAATTCTGTAAAATACAAAAGTTATAAGCTGCTTTTACCGGCTTGAAAGGCCAAAAACATGAAAGTTTCTCAGAAAAAAATAAAGAGGGTATGCTGTAGTGGTCATAAAACGCAGCCTCGACTGAAAGAATATTATTATCTTTTCACGTTCTGCTATATATGCCTCGTGGTGGAGATTAATAGAGACTTTTTTGTTTTTCTTCTGAAAGAAAGCTACGAAAGAGAAAACTTTAAATAGTTCGTGAAGTGGTATATCCGCTCCATTTCAAATTGATGTAAATCATAAAAAGAAAATATATTCTTCGAGTAAATCGACGAATTTCTATAACCTGAAAATGGCTGGTACTTATGATACTGAACAAGAAAGAGTGATTGACAGAATTAAATGTATCGCTTTTCGTGAAGCTCGCGATGCCGGTGCAGCATTTATTAATCGACAATGGATCGCGGAGAAAATTCGCCATACAACCCGATTTGTCACAGAATGGTGGGAAAAATCATAGGACCAATGCTTCACTGATTATTCAAACGCCGGTTGCAACCTCAAATTATCACAAGCAAGTCAAGATATCATTCATAAAGCAAGTGGTCGACAAGGAAAAAATTGTTCTGTTGTGGCGAGACAGATTGCAGAAGAGCAATCAATAATTATCGTTATAGAGAAGGATTGAAGCCATTTCATGTTATTTCAAAGCCATTAAAAACTGAAACTCATATATCAAATCGTTTATGGTTGTGTGACTAGTTAGAAGATTGGACTGAAGAAGACTTTTTTTATCTTGCGCCATCTGACGAGTTTTATGTCTGGACTGTTCGTAGACCGAATTATCAAAATGATAGCATTTGGGCCTTAAATGTCGAAGATATTGAAGATGATGAAAGGTACCGTGAAATGGTTTAAAATCAAGTATGCATCGGAGTTTTTATTATGTTTGCTTGCAAGAGATTACTTTGAGTGATTAAAGGTAAGGGCGAGTCTTCGACTGGTGATTATTTTCGTGAAATAATTCTAACTCAAAATGTAATACATTTTTTAAATTGATGAAGAAAATGTTATTGATCCTGATGAAGTCACATTTGTTCATGATAAGGCGCCGTGTATGCGAGCAAACAAAACCCAACATTTGCTTCAAGACAACAATGTGAAGTTTTGGGGCAATGACATATGGTCAGGAAATTCGCCTGATCTCAATGTAGCAGAACGTATAGGATCAATAATGAAAGATGAAGTTGAGAAAAAAATTTTATCAGAGATTGGACATAATCGGTATCTTGAGGATACACTCAAAGTGCATCTTACAAGCGTTTTGACCAATATCGAGACAGACACTGATTTATTTGAAACACTTTTACGTTTGTATCCATCACGTCTCCGTGCAGTGAAGAAAGCTAACGGTCGTCACACTCATTATTGATTCTATTCATTAAATGTTGAAAGAATAAACTATTTTGGTACACATTTAGTTTGAATTTCGCTTCAAAAATACGTAGTGGAAGTTAGCAGCGGATTCGAGTATTTCTTGCTGATATTCGCTCAAGAACTTGTGATGGGTCTCTAAGCTCTTGTGATGGATAGATCTCGTCATTCTGCATCGAATGGTGTAAGATACGTTGGGAGTCATCGATCATAAGTGGGGACTACACCAGTAAATACTAGTAAAATAGTGATTTTTACCACTAATACCTGCTGATATTCGTTCAGAAACTTGTGATGGGTAGATCTCGTCATTCCGCATCGAATGGTGTAACTAGAGTGGGGGTCCATTCGCCCTACCCAGTGGTTTCACCAGTAAATACTAGTAAACTAGTGGTTTTTACCAGTATATCCGGCTGACATTCGCTCAGGGAGTTGTGATCAGTCTGAAATTCCAGGGACTGATGAAATTCGACGAGCTCCACAACTTTGTCTAACGACACTTTTCTGACAGACTGTTCCTTCAGTCCGAAATATGTCAAAAACGACGCTAATCCGTGAAAAACCTAGGTTTTGGCGCCTGGTTTTGTCTAAAAGTGCTTTCCAAAGAAACAATCAGTGGTTTCAGGTAGATCTTGATTACCGCTATTGATATCATATCGAGTTCATCAATTTTCAATTTGTGGATATCAAGAACAACGCTAATTAGCAATAAATCCGCTACATACATCTCTTCCCTCTCACTTATTGGTTCATTCTTGTGAACCAATAGAAATAAAGCAACAGAAAATATTATACTTTTCAGAAATTTTAGTGTGATAAATTGGCTAAAATTGTAACTAGTGGTAGAACATTCTTTTCTCTGAATTATTCTATGTAATTCGAGCAGAAAACTATATATATGCCTTTGTGTGGTCTGTTTTCAGACAATCAACCTTTGTTCTGAACTGATAGTGAGATTCCATAATTTTTCTCATTGGTGAATTTCTTCTGTTGAAGAAAGAACATGAAAGTAAGTATGTATTGAAACGAAAATCTTATCTTGCAAATTTTCTGAAAAGTGAATTAAAAAATTTCCGCAGTTTAAAACTAAAAATTAGTTTTTTTTGCCAGAAATAACAATCGGAATACTTTGATTTTCGGTTTGAGGCTGGAGTGATCTTTGTTTGTCAAGTACGAATTAATGTTATCGAAATTTATCCGTCTGGACATTATGCAATCGATGTTGTATATTAGAATAGATATATTATAATTGTGTGAAATATTTGTCTTTCGTTGTAATGAGCCTTAGTCGCGAGTTTGCATATTCTGGGGTTTATTTGGAATGTATAGTTTTGATATTTATTTAAAGTAAGATGTGGTTTAGTGTCTTTGCTTCTAATATACATATCGTGAATTAATAGAAAATTTACCGTGTGAAAGAAGTTTTATTTAACATAGTTGAGGACAAGGAAGAGTCATCGTTTTCGCTCGCTTCAACATCGGCCGTGGCGAGCTAGAGCAACTCATGTCTGAGTTAGCTGTGCAATCATTTCAGTTAACAACTCTTTTCACGATATTGACTTGTACTGATCGACTTATTTCATGGGGATTGTCGGAAAGAAGCAAAAATACTCGTTTCGGACAATATTTCCACTCGACTTCGAAATATGGCACTTGGGCAACGATAGTACCATCTGTCTCTTGTTTCATTACGGCGATTATTTTGTTAATTCTTTCACCTTCTCCCATCATCACGTGTTTCACTTAAAAAGGAAAAACTTTTTCTCCTGTATGTGCATAATGAAGCATCGGATCAAATAAGTTTGTTTGATTGTATACAACGGGCATAAGAGAACGACATCGATTAGCTACCGAAAAAGATTTGAACGCCAAGCGAGCACTAGGCATTCCACTACGATTCAATCGTATGTGTTATTTGATGCATCATCAGTTATCGATTGCATACTTATTCTGCCAATTTAATGTTGAATACAGGGATCGATTGAATAAAATGATAAGAATACCGACAATAAAAGACAAAAGAAGATTGAATTTGTTTGCCTGATGAGAATATGTTTTGTTACACTAAAGTCACATGTACACGGCAAGAAAAGCCTCTGAAAAATCTCGATACGCTACACTTTCAACATTTTCTCTTCGACATTTGCTTTTGTTGTGCTTGTGCAGTCACTTCTGATGCTGAAAGAAAAACACTCTTATCCGCAGAGTATAGACATTCACTTGCTCTCTACGTTGTTTTTCAATTATTTTCTTCCCAGTGTGGGTATCTTG